GTCTAGAAGGGTGTTGATAACACACCAGTGTTTTGGTACTGCTGAGCAGAGCACCCACAGCATCAGCACTGTCTCTTGACATTCCTCCCCCTGCACACCCCATTGAAAGGAGGGAGGACGGAGGGACGGGCAAGATCCTGGGAGGGGACACAAGGAGACCAAATGACCCAAACTAAGCAAAGGGATATTCCATACCATACGACCTCAGCTCAGATATAAAAGGAGGAGGAAGGGGGGGAGGCATTAATTGTTTACAGTGTTTGCCTTCTGGAACAACCACTCCATGTGCAGAAGCCCTGCTTCCCAGGAAAATAGCCAAACACCGCTTGCTAATGGGAAGTAGAGAATAAACCTTGTTATTTTCCTCTTCACTTGTGCACATGCAAATTTTCTCTTTTGCTTTGGTAACCTGCCTTATTCCAATCTACAGGTCGTTTTACATCTTATTCTTTCCCCCTTGTCAGGTTGGGAAGGGAAGTGATAGAGCGTCTTGGTGGGCACCTGGCGTCCAGCCAAGGTCAACCCACCACAGCAGGTTTTCTGTGTAGATCATTTCTTTATCTTACACTTTATGTTATTAGTATTGGTGTGTTACTATTTGCTTTCATATCTCATTGCAGTCAATTGTTCTTATCTCACCCCGTGACTTTCACCTTTTGTGCCTCCAATTCTCAACTCCATCCTGCCAGAGTGGGAAGAGGGAGGGTAAAAGGGGGAGCAAGTAAAAGTGTGGTTTGGATTCTCTTTGGGAGAACTGAATTGGGGAGTAACGTTCCTAAACCATGACACTCACACACACACACACACACACACACACACACACACACACACACACATATATATATATATATCCCTTTTTATTTATGCCTTAGTTTATGACTTGTATATATTCTAGTGAAGGCTACCTAATACAGTATGTGTGTCTTAACTAATATTTATTAGGCAAGTGAATCTGCTTCATTCTGATACTCCTGTGAATATACCACATAAAAGCAAAATGTAACTTCCTTTCTACAGTACACTTATCAATACCCAGTGAACAGTCCTGCAAACCTCCTTCATTCTGACTTTGGACTATTGGTTTTGTCCTATTAATCAGTGCTAAGAGCTTAGTTTCTTATAGGGATAAGAAGTCTAAGAAAGCCTCAGTGCCATCAGGATGCAGAGTATCATTAGTACATTCAGTACCGTACACTGGACACCTCAGTTCATTACAGCAAATGCTGGTGCATAAAACCTCAAAACTACTCACTTGTCTGATCTGAAGTGCACTGCTGATGACATCACATTCATCCTACAGCCATACTTGAAGGAAAAAGAAGTCCTCAAAAAACACTGTCTTCAGCGATCAGGTTAAACCTTGGAGAGTTGACTTGCAGTCTTTTAAAACAAAAGTTCACGCTGCTGCTAATGCCTAGGCTTGCACATTCCAAGATCAAAGTGACAATTTTTGGTAGGGCTGTCTTTGCCTCAGCTTCTTGGCTTCAGTGTGAACCAGTTCACTGCTTAAATGAGACATATTTCTTGATCACTTTCTCCCTTGCCAAAGCTGTGGCCCATCCACCCAGCACATAAATTATAAATGCATTGCAGATTTTGGAAAGCTCAGAGAGCTAAATAGAGGCAAAATAACTGAGGTAGTCGAGATGTGGCTATACAGTTAAAAAGTTGCAGAGAATCCTTGCTGTCAAGTGTGACCAGCAGTAGATAGTACATGTAGATAGTGACTAGTACATGTAGATACTCAATAGTGTAATGATGTTGCTTTAGTACTGCTGTTTTATTGTAACTTTGGCAGTAAGTTTCCATTGATATTTAGCATAGACTGTGGTGGGATGTATAGGTATACGTGTTTTTAGAATAATTTTTTGGGTTTGTGTTGTTTTCTTTTGTCTCAGTGGAAACTGTCACACAGAGTACTAGGGAAATGTACATGCTCCTGCAGCATTATTATTATTGAGCAAGTTCATATCAGGCTTCAATAAGAGCCTGATTTTTCTTATAAAAATCACAAAAAAATTTTTGGGATTTTTCAAATCACTAATTTGAGTTTGACCTTTTACAGGTTTTTGCTATAATGCTCTTATAGTAGATTACAGTTAGAATAGACAGTGATAGTTTTATAGGGTTTTAAGCTATTTTTCCAAAATAGTTTAAAACCAAACAATTTATAAGCAGTTAGAATGACCCTGCAAACACCTACATGCATGAAATGTGCTGTGCATAATTTATTTCTGCATATTTTGGACAAGTCTAACTTTACCTTGGTGCTTTTGCTAGCAAAAGGTGTTGCTCCTCCCATTTTTTTCTGGTTTATGCACATCCTAGAGTGATAGTATTAGGAAAGAATGAGGCTGATCATTGAGTTAGTTCCCCAGAGAGATCTGTTCCGCAGGATGTGTTTTCTGTAATGAAATGCCACAATTCGTGGTTTGTTCCCACTGAGGATGACCACACAGCCTGTCAGATACTGGCCCTGCTAAAGTCCTGTTTACTTGATCAATGATAAGAAGAGCTGAACCACAAGGATGAGAGAGCTCTTAGTGAAGCAACTAAACGCGTGTGCCAACCTGCACCGTGTAGCTGTGTCATTCTCTGCCACTGCAAAAACTCTTGAGCACCAAACAGGATTACAAGAAAGCAAGGAGAAAATATCCAACCTGTTCCAAGGCTGTGTTGTGTTATTGTGTAGCTGTTGTTTCTATTTACTGCAAGAGCTGCTTCTCAGCATAAAGTAATGAGTTAGGTAGTAAAAGTAATTTCTGTGGGCATTAAGGCAAGTGATGTGAAAAGTACAGCTCAAGATTTTTGTACACAGAACTGTTAAAGAGGGGTGTTAATTTTCTGGGAAACTAAGCACTACATCCTGAAGCATTCACAATTTGCTTTTCCCTTGAAAAAAAATAATTTAGTCTAATTTAATTGCTTGCTCAAATATCCTTCGTTAAGCAAATGAAATGTGTTTTCATTCATCTTTTGTAAAGGAGGAAAGATTCCAGAGTTTCTGGGTAGAAGAATAGGTGGCTACAGGAGTACAGATTCCATATTCAATTTACCAGATTCACGCAGGGGTTAGAAATTAAAATACATATGTCTTTCTGTTTGATATTTGCTGGTTTTCGGCAGGACTTGGCCCTGCTGCTGCCCCGTGAAGGGGAGGGGAGCTGTTTCTCCCAAGCCTTTTGAGTATATGCACACACCTAGAGCAGATCCTCATTCAGTTGTGCTCTTCCTTCTAGTGAAGAGATGGTAAGCCCAGCTCTGTTGCTATCAAAAGTAGTGTTCATTTACTATTCAATCACGCAGTTCTTTCGTCTTCTGAGCAAAAAGGTTGACTAAATAGGAATGCTGGATTCTGCCTGTGGCTATGCTGGAGAACAAAATGCTGTTTTCTCTCTTTCTTTTCTTTCCCTTCCCGCTTTTTAAAAAAATCTTTTAAAGTAGAGTAAAGTCACTTTGTCAAATGCACAGTGAGGACTAATTAGTCAATGTTTGTTCAGAGCTTTGGATGTCTTAAGCCTTATTTGGGATGAGTGCTGAATATTAGCCATCTTCATGCATTGGCTTGATTATAACCAGCATCTTGATGGAGAAGGTTTTTTTTTTACCATTTAAATAAGGTGCAATTTAGGGTTTTATTCTCACTGTTGGTGTGTATTTTTATACACGTTTATCATGTACTTGCATATTAAGTTATAGATTTTTGGGTATCTATATTTTTAAAAAATTGGAGTGTTCTATATGAAGAAAAATACACTTATACACTTATATTTCTGTTTTATGTTTGACGTATTTTAGCTAGTCAAGGTATTTCATAGGTATTTGAATATTCTGAATTACTATTTGGACATCCTCCGACCAAACAGGGAACTTCTTTTATCTGTAGAAATGAGAGTATCCTTGCAGTTGCATGCCTGAATGATTTTGCTCAGTATATTGCATTGTCTTCTGTTAGTAAAATACTAGAGCCAGAGTAAAAAATTAATTTGAAGTGGTTGTTGAGAAGAAAACTTAAATTCTTGTGGGAATTGTCTAGATTCAGGTGCAGAATTTTACTTAAGGTTAATGCTAACATTTGGAATTGAGCAAGAGAAGAGATCTTTTATGTATTGTCAAGGGGTTTTTTGAGGCGAAGAGAGACTGAGCATGTGTGATTCTAAATATGATTCTTCATTATTTTATCATATTTGTGTTTTTTAGGACTAGAAATATGGTACTTGAACAAATGTTCCTTGATGTCTTAATGCAACTTAATGGAATCTGTATGTTAAGTAATCTGAGTCTACTATAGATTTTATATCACCTATTGCTATATAAAAAATAACATCAACTCGTGTAATTGAATGTTCTGCACAAGACTTATCTATAATGATGTATTGATAGCTCTGTGTTCAGCTGTTAAGATAAATATTTGATTACATCTGTATTACTTTAGATTTCATTTCGTAGGAGGAGTTGGCAGTCTATTGGTAGACAAAAGAGAAAATCTTTTTCATATCAGCAAAGTATGCTCCACTTTAGAATCTGATGAATTGAACTTCGGTGCTGAAGCAAAATATAGGTGAAGCATTATACTTTGGGAGAACAAGAATGTGAACCTGAGTAAAGAAATCTGTATGTCTGGGTTTTTTTTCCTGATAAAGCAGTCAATTTATGGACATTTGTGAAAGATTTTAAATTACGATGTTTTCTCCATTTACTGACGCTGTGGGCTTCAAAATTTATATCATCTTATATTTAAAGCCATTACAGCATCAGCTGAAAAGACCTTAAATCAATGCAGTTACACCCTTCTCCTGCCATGTGTCTGTAAAAAACGTATATGTTCATATGCAAGTTCATGTAATATAAAAACCAAAGCTAACAGCAAGCAACTAGATTTGTATTTTTCCTAGTTTGAGTACGTTTGGAAAATTTATTTTGTTATTTCATATTTTTATTTGCAGATCAGATAGAATTACTGGCACAATATGTAAATTTATTCTTCTATTTTTATTTAGTTTGACAAAGGATATGCTTACAGCATTCGCCACAGCTATGGCAAAGAAGGAAAGAGAACTGATTATACCCCATACAGCTGCATGAAGATTATCATGTCCAATCCACCAAGTCAAGGGGATTATCATGGTGAGTTCCTTAAGGAAAAATCCCAAATGTTTGCAAACAGCAGAATCCCTTGTCTGTTAAAGAGAGGTTACTCCATCCTATAGTCTTTTAAATTAAGTATTTAATTTCTAGACCCTAGTTGTTTTGAACTGTTCTCATTAGATCAGACTTGATAACTTCTCTTTTTATAAATGTTGCGTCATGCAGTTCTAGGAAACTTTAAATGTACAGGTGCTTTAAGAAATGACCAATTGGAGGTGTTCTGAGGTATGAGTTCAATTCTACAGGAATTCTGGAAAACCACCACTGACTTCACTGTTGTTATGCTAGTACTAAGTCATTCATTCAACTGTGTCTCAAAACTAATTCTGGAACAAAAAAATTCCACTGTTATTTAGGTGGTGGAACTTTATAAGGTATTCATAAAGAGGTATTTTTACAATGGACTGTGCTTTAAATTACTTGTCTATTCCTGGTTTTTTCCCATTATTAAATGTACCAGTGATATCATTGTTAGTAAGGAACTAACTTAAACCCTTTTCTTGTCAGTGAATGAGAATTGTGACCTGTTTATGGTGGGATATTTTATGTAACTCTTGAGCCTGTGGTACCCTGATAACTGTGCAGTAGAGTAATTATTTAAAGAAAAGAAAAAAAAACTAAGCAGTTGTACACATGGGTAATTAACTTTCCTATTAATAAGCTGTTAGGCAATTAGGAACAGCTTAGCTGGTCTCTTGAGTGCCTTACTGCACTAACTCCTGAGTAAACAGCCTTGTTTGTGAGCTTGCTTGTTTTTTACTGTCAGGGTGCCCATTCCGACACAGTGATCCTGAGCTACTGAAGCAAAAGCTGCAGTCATACAAGATCCCTCCCAGTGGAATAACTCAGGTAAGGCGTATTTTGCTTGACACTTTAATTAATAAGGCACTGATTTTCAATTTTACTTTCTGTTTGTGTTGGAATGCTATATGCAGTTTGTCAGTGTGTATTGTGAAATATTTCTTCTTATGAAAGGTTTAAACCAGAATCTTGGCTTTCTGGCTGCAGTGCTCCTGCTGACGTGATGATTATCGTCACCAGCTTTTATTGTTTAATATTATGAGTTGGTTTATTACTATGGTGGATACAATGTAGAATTTTGTTCTACTGCACTGATTAAAAAAAAAGTTTAAATTAATATGGCAGTGTTTTAGAGAATTTATTTTTACTCTTGCAGTGACTTGTGGATAACTACTGTGTAATCAGTAGACATATGTAATTGTTTTTTATAATAAACTTCTAAAACCCATACATTCTTAATCATCCATTGTGCTAACTTCCCTTAAATGACAAAAACACATGAAATGCCTAGTGAAATTATGTAGAGATTTTTATCAGCTTTTAATCACATAACATTAAGTTAAAAACCTACCTTGTATAGCAAGGACAATGTAGGAATTGGAACTTTGAGGTGTGTACTGAAGAACTGACTCCCATTCCTTGCTCTAGCAAGAGCTTAAGGCAATGAAAGGTTGCCATCATTTTCACTGGAGGAAGACATACGGGTTAGATTTAAGCTGAGACAGTTCACCAAACAGTTGTGTATATTAACTGCCTGAAACTGGCTTTAGGTCCCTGGGAAAAACCTGCTTTAAGTTGTTGTCTTGAGTTCATGTGGAGTGTCACCATTGCTTGTCAGGCGTCCAAAGACTGTTGAACTAGATAGAAAGGAATGTGAAAGTTCCACTTAAAGCAATCTCCCTTGGAAGAAATAATTAAGATACAAATAAAAAGAGAATAGTTTTAAAGAGTTTAGTGTTCACTCGTATTCATTCTTGACAAACTCTTGAAATACCCAGACTTTTTCCTAGTCATGTTTTTTCTTTTTTTTTTTTTTCATATTTTCTCCTGGTTCATATGAATAAGCCTCCATCTGTCTGACATGAGATATACTCTCCTTTGGCTTTTTTCCTTTTTATATGCATCAAAAATTGATGCCGGTCTGAGATTTTTATCCTGCTAATCATTGGAAAGATTGGTGAGGATTTACTGGTTTAGCAGCCTTCTGTATGTGTGGGTAGAATTTAGTAGAGGTTATTTCTTCAGTGAATTTGCACAGTAAGGCAGTATCTTTATACTTAACATAGTTCCTTATTTGATGTGAATTGTGTTTTTCTTTTTGTGTGTCTGTATTTTTTTTCCTTTGTAAAGTAGAATTGGAATTCACTAGGAGTCCTAAATTGTCTTACGAAAAGTGACTAAGAAAAACCGTTTCCATCAAGGTCTTCTTTGCCTGGAAATAGACACTGTCCTGTCCATGAATTTTGTGGTGCCTGTTTAAGTGCGGTCAGAATACAGGACTCTGCAGTGTCCACTCCTGGTGTTAAAACAAAACAAATCCAAAACAATACACCCTACACACACACTCAAATAATAATAATAAAAAAAAAAGTTGACTGGTTAGTTTTGTAGTGCTGTTGTTCTCAGTCGTCCGTTTCAAGGGCTGTTCCTACTCTTGGCATACACTCTTTCCTTTAAGGTTCAGAAGAATTTCTGAGTTATTCCCATACAGATAAAGCATTGTCTGGTGTGGGGTGGAAACAAACCCCATCCTCAAAGGGCTTTTCACACAGGACTAGGTGTGAAAAAGGAATGCTGGACCTTGGGATGATGGTGCAGAGCAAATACAACCAGACCTCACGTGCCTTCAGTAATCAGTTGGAGCATTAGATGGCTTTCATTGCGGCTATTTTGTAGTACTGTCAGTACTGAAAAAGTGATCAGAACATTTGAATATGTCAATGTTCATGCAGTGAATTGTCTAGATCCAACCTGCAGTCCATATTTTCTGAGGCTTTATCTTGTCTAAGATTCTATCTGCTGAAGTCATCTTCTGAAAGTAATACAGGAGATAACTTCCAGGTCTTCTCTAGTTATTATGTAGCCTAAAGCAGAAAGAATTAATCCTGATGTTTATTCCAAGAACTGAATTATTTAATTTGTATTCATTTCACATTTTCCTTAGGCTGGGCTATTTCTTTATTTGTGATTGTAGCCTTTTCTATTTCTTTTAAAAATACTTTATCGAGAAAGAATATGGTTAGCTGAGCATCAAATGTGTGAGTGTATAACATTTGAATTTATAGTATGTTTTGGATCATATTTCATTTCTGTCTTATATAGTGCTAATGAGGTAAAATCTTTATGAAATCAGGTTTGACAAAGCTAATCAATTTGAAGAGTATAGATGAAAATATATGTTAAGATATTATATCTTTACGTATGGGACTTTGAACAATTGCATGTAGTGATAGGACAGTGAACAGTGGCTTCAAACTGAAAGGGAGTTGGTTTAGAATAGATATTAGGAAGAAATTCTTTACTGTGAGGGTGATGAGGTGCTGGAACAGGTCACCCAGAGAAGTTGTAGATGACCCATCTCTGTCACTGTACAAGGCCAGGTTGGATAGGGCTTTGAGCAACCTGGTCTAGTGAGAGGTGTCCCTGCCCACGGCAGGGGAGGTGGAACTAAATGAACTTTAAGGTCCCTCCCAACCCAGACTGTTCCATGATTCTATGATAAATACATCTGTTGTGTTGCTGTACTAAATTCACTGTAGTGTGTTGCCTGCACCTCTCACATAGGAAGATAGAAATTATAGGGTTTGAACTAGGGTTATTTCAAAATACTATATTATTGGTTTCAGAAAGTTTTCTTGAGAAATTACCCATTTCCCAATTTGCATCTATCACAATAGCAAAAGCAAAAGGTAGTCAAAATACGTGGTTCTACAATCAGGAGAAGCAGAGGTTCTAGACTCATTCTTTTTACTTTTCTATTAGGAGGAAAAGCATTTCTTGGGGGAAAAATGCTTTTGTAAATGAACAGTAGATAACTTCAGAAGATGGCATGTTCTTTCTAGAAGTGTTCTCTTAATTTAAAAAGGGGTCTTTTTTCCATAATTGAGTGAAATTAGAGGTTTTGATTAAGTTGTTGAACTTTGTCTAATATTCTCCAACAGATTAGTGTTTTGTGGGACTGGAGCATCTACACAGAGCTAGAAATAAACAAGCCAATCTGTGCCTAGGCCTCTGATATGGTTGTATGTTTCCATCAATGAAAAAAACACCCCACACCAAAACACCGAACAAACCCCTCAAAAACCAACAAAACCCCACCACACTGAAAAAACCCTCACTCTCTCCCTTCTGATGGTCTAATATTAGAAAAGTTTTAATCAGTGCTGTCTGTAAAAATATTTTCTCTTGCAGCTAAAGAATTTTGCCTTAGCACTAGTCATCTTCATGGTAGGGCTTTTGTAAGTTCTGATTAAATAAGAGCAAGTACTGTTTAAGCAAGATATCTTTTATTAAGTCAGTATTTATTGGGGAAATATATAAAACAGAAAGAAAAATACAAGAACAATTGATATTCATAATATAGACAAATTTTCTGTAATACCCATTTTATTATTACAGTGAAATTTGGTACATCAAAGTTCCTTAAAATTTTCAATGGTTTCTCACCCAGAATGTATACCATGTTTAATTGTCTTGTAGTTGGTGTATTTTTCAAGTATGAATATGCTTATTGATTTCACTAGGATTACTTTTGTGTATAAGCTGAGTGAACACAATGGCAAATTTAACCAGCCAAATCTAACCCTTTTTTTCTGATGTTAAAGCTCCCATCTGACTTCTTTAGTGTGTATTTGTTGGTGCTGGGGCGTTACTGTTACTGACTCCATCAATGGGTACAATATTGTAGAGTGTTAACATGACATAGCTTAATATCTCGATATGACGAGACAATATGGTGTCGCTAAAACTAATTATTTTAAATATTTGATTTACAGTATTTCCAATGCCTAAATTTCCCAATCTTCAGTTTATTGTTGATAAGTGGAAACAAGTATTAGAAATGAGAAGTTATATCTAACTATTTCCAGGTGAGATGATAATGTTAAAAAAACTGTATGCAATTATATTAGAATGGACTGTTCAAAAATCTGATTTATGTATGGGTAAGAAAAAAAGTAAATGTTGACTAGTGACTGGTGAACGGGCTTGTGACAGTAAAACAAAAATACAGCATAGGAAAAGAAAACTTGAGAGAATGCAAAATATGCAGAAACACAGTGAGAAGCACAGCTAACTGATAATCACACAATTGCAGAAGGGTGGAAGGGGCCACAGTGGCTCATCTGGTCCAACCTTCCTGCTCAAGCAAAGGCATCCTACAGCACATGGCACAGGATTGTGTCCAGATGGTTCTCGAATATCTCCAGTGAGGGAGACTCCACAATCTCTCTGGGCAGTCTGTTCCAGTGCGTGGTCAACTGTGCAGTAAAGAAGTTCTTTCTTGTCTTCAGGTGGAACTTTCTGTGCATCAGTTTCTGCCTGTTGCCTCTAGTCCCTGGTAATACCGAGAAGAGCCTTGGCACCCTCCCTTCAGATACTTATAGTCATTGTTAAGGTTCCTAATAATAAGAAACTATAAGAATACAGAAGACTTCTAGAGTATGTGCACAGATTTATTATACATGGAACACAATTGAAAGTACAGAAGGTACATGGTTGAACTAGAAAATGTACTTTTTATAGTTTGGATTTTATATTCTGACCACCAAAAGGATGTAATAAAAATGTAGTCAGGTGCTGTTGAGACTGTTTATTATCGAATCACAGTATGGTTGAGGTTGAAAGGTGTGTCTGGAGGTTATCTGAGAAAATTGTGCTATACATGCATACATTATAAACATGAAACCTTCAAAATTAATTTAAAACATACAGGGAATACCTGAAATCAGTAGAAAGGACAGATGACTGTACTGACCAGGAGACAAAAGACACTGGGGAGTTCTGGGGCCAGATTTAATGTTGAGGTGGTCACACAGTGACCTGAAAGAGAGGAGTGGAATGTGTTCAGATAATCTCCAGCAGTTGCACCCAATCATATCTTCAGCCATCTTTGAAATAAAAAGAATGATAGAATCTTTAGGTTGGAGAAGACCTTTGAGTTCATCACCCAACACTGCCAAGTCCACCACTAAACCATGTCCCCAAGTGCCACATCTACACATCTTTTAAATACCTCCATAGAAGGTTAGAAATGAGTCATACATTACTGAATCTATAGTAGAAAGATTTTCATGTTAAAAATATAAGTTAATTCTGCAATTAAAAAAAAAACAAACACCAAACCCAAACTTACTTTGAGTAAGTGAAAATAATAATGGATAATTACAGAGCCCCAACTATCCTGCTATGAAACATCTTAACTTTGAGTGCTGAGGATCTATAAAAGCAGGTGGCTGCATACAGCTGCCAAACATCATCTTACCCTCATTAGTAGTCAGTAGAGCAACATCAGAAAAGCAAGTTGCAGATGGCAGTGAAGGAAAAGGCGCATAAGGACTAACAAAGTCCTTGAGTATGTACCTTTACTTGCAAAATAAAGCAATGCAGTGTGAATATCTTAATATATGTAGAGGCAAAAGATTGCTGCTGTGAATTAAGTTTTGAGTGGAGGTCTGTTATTGGGTAATACTAGTGAAAAACAGCTCTAAGCTTGCTTTCATTATGTACACAAATGTACAAAAGATAATACTTATTATGAATTATAATTCTGTTTTATTTTAATAGAGAATTGATAGTTTCTCTCACACAGATGATTCCTTTCCATCTGGCCTCCGTTCTATTGCAGTTCTTAACTTTTTTTGTTTCCTCTCAGCAACTTGATCCCTGATTAAAGCAAGTTAATCTACTAAGTGTTTTTCTTTGAATATGTTTGATGTGCCCCTTATTCCTCAGTCCTTTCATATACATGGAAGGTGGACCTGGTCCCCCTGATGTGGCTGGTTTAAACTTACATGTGTACTCAATACTAGGCTTATCATTGATGCCTTGTGGCTGTCTCTCAGAAGGAGTATGAGCTAAACTATAACTGCTTTTTTATTTTTTTTCTGAATGAGCCACAAATGTTGGTCTGACTTTTCTACCCAACCACAGCTTTTAATCAGCATTTAGCTTTGTCATCTCTACTTGTCAAATTTGGCTGAAATTGGCCAACTGTTTAAATCTGGGGAGGTGACGTGGTGGAAAGGGTAAAGGAACAGGAGTAAAATGATGACCAGTACATTGATAAATTTAACAAACTGGATGAAAGTTTCTGGACTGTTCTGGTGGGCATCTGTTCTATGGAGCACTCTATCCATGTCAGGAAGAGAAGTGGCATGAAGACCTAGTTATGCAACTTCACTGGAGAATGCTGATATGAGTTCTTCTCACAGCTGTTTTCCAAGATACGTCTTCGTAGTAGTACAGCAGAAAGATCTGTGCGGATTTTCAAGGGAGTAGGACAGTAGTTCCTTGGTGAAACAAAAGTGTAGCTGGGAAATAAAGATTTTTTTTTCAGTCAATTTCAAGGAGAGAGAAGATTAAAAAAAGAAATAAATGTATCTACCCAGACAGTGCCAGATTTCAGACTTCATTGCCTAGTTGGCCTTGGCTTTGCTCTTTTACAGAAGGTGTAACAGGAGGTGGTGAGAGGGATAGAAATGTAATCAGTTGGGCTATTACATAGAAATAATGTGACTAAGTACTTCCCTGGCACTGTGTTGCAGTTTTTATCCATTCAGCAAATGTAATTTATTTATACATCTGTCAATAAATACAAGGCAGCATCCGATAATGAGTGCAGCAGGGATTTAAGCTGTATATTGCTGTGTTTGACACAAAGGTCAGCCTTGGGAAAGGGCTTGAAATTAACATTTCTTGAAAACTATTTTTCCTTCCACTGAGGCTATCTCTTAATTCCAGCAATTTTCTCTTGATAAGCAGAGAGAGCATATATTTTGATTATATAAAGGAGGGAGGAGGTGATGAAACTTTAAAATATTTCAACCAGCATTGCATTCTGGTGATAAGAATGGGACTTTATGCAACACAGAAGAGATTACCTGAAGTAGAATTGGAAAGCAAATTGTATTTACAAAAGATGGCATGATTTTCCTAATAGGTGTTCAAAACAGCCTATTCACTCACATATTCTGCTGAGCTTGACTAGAAATAACTTCATTTCAAAAAGGACAAATCTGATTGAAGGTAAAAGCATTCCTCTCTCACAGATACTTGTCTAAAGGATTTGCATTAAATTTTCTTGATGGGAGCACAGTATTTTACTGTGCATCTCCATGAACTGGTAATGTGGAAAATAAGAATACAAGTCGTGTCCTTGATTGCTTCATGCTTCAACCACTTGAATTACTAGATTTATGTCTGCAGTTTTGGAAGTGATGTTGCAATATGATACTTTGACAATAACTGTCACAATTATATTACTAAAATATGGATTCAACTTATTGTTGAAGTTAAGAGTATTGAAATTACATTTTAAGGACCTGGCATACCTTCCTTTGGTTTTATCTTGTTTTTAACGTAGCCAGGGAATTTTTAAATGTTGTCAGTTATTAGTAGAATACACAGATGTCATGTGCTGCAAGTGTCCCTGAGCTGTTGTACAAGGCTGTTGTGGAATACCTTGTTGTTGAAGATCAACAAGATGTATGTGTGCTACTTCTGAATCCGTCACGTTTTTCTCCCTCTGTGTAGATCCTGGAGTTGGTGAAGGGCATGCATTACCAACTGGCCTGTCAGAAGTACTTTGAGTTGACACATGAGGTAAGTAGCTACTAATTTTTGTTTCAGCTATTATCACTGACTCTTGAGGAAGGCCTTGGAAATCATGCTTGAAGTCCAGAGACTATTTTCAGTTTGCATATCCACCATTATCTGTCTTACCTTGTCACTTTTCAATAATTTCAAATACTCTTTTGTAATTTTCTGCATTTATTTATTGATGTTATTAATACCCTCAACATTACAAGATATAGAAAAATGTTATGCTTTTTTCCTGAAAAGGAAAATATTGTTGAATTTTAACAATATTCAATATTGTTGAATTTTAACAATTTCAAGTCATTTCACTTTCTCAATATTCTGCTTTTAATGAAATTTATGGTTTTTAACGCATTTTGCAAGTTTGATGTTGTTTAGATACACCTTAAAAATTAACAGAAAGTATCTAAAAAGTGTAATTTAAGCTAATCTCCCTGTCTGTTCACAGTTAATATTGTTAATTTTTACTTGGTATTTTTTCACATCTGTAGTCATGTGTGATTATTTTTTAAATCAAGATGAACATTCTCAGAGCTTTCCCATTTGCTTAATTGCAAGCAAAGTTAAAGTAAGATCCTCCAGAAAATTTCAAGATAGCAAATGGCCACACTCCATCTCCTGTGTGATTTCTTGATTCAAAGAACCAGCTTTTGCACTGGTTCAAAATTCCTTTCATCAAGAAAAAGCAATGAAGCACAGCCCTTCTTATAGCTTTGTTCTCTCCACAACTCAAGAAATGGAAACGTCCCTTTCAGACAGCAGGCTATGTTTGTTGCTGTGTATGTTGCTAAAGATATGGATGAGGATTAGATGACCCACCCAGAGACTTTTTTGTTCTTCCTGGTTTTCACATTTGATTTAAATGGAACTGTTTCTCTTCACAAATTTCCAGCAATCATGTATATGAGTGTATAGCAAAGGTATACTCTGAACTTCTATCCAGTATTGTTTTGGCAGCTGTAATTTGAGAGGAACACTTTCTCTTAGTCTTAGGAAATGTGACAACAAGCCTAATAATCTGGAAGTAAATTCAAAATTATGTACAATTTGAAATTTAGATAACACTTGGCCTGTGTAAGCCCAAGTCAGTAGAAATAATGTTTTCCAAAGATGACTATAGACTCTAAGGTCAACGTTCAATGAAGGATAAATCAGCACAGTGCATTTTAGGAAAGCTGTCTTTCCATTCTTCCATGGCAAATTCCAGAACAGCATTATTTTTTATCAGTCTTGTGGTAATATAAATATCTGTCTTTGCTGCTTGCATGAAGAATCATCTTTCTGCTTTACTGTTAATAAATGTCTTATTTCAATGAGAGAAAGCAGAATACAGAGAAAGACAGTTCCCGTAGTTTGCATGGCACGTGCTTTTTTTTAAAGAGAATTTAGCTGCTCAACTTGTTACCAGCCTGCTTGGAGTGATCTTTCTATCCTACAACTGTATGCTTTATTAATTTTTTATTTTTTATGGGGTAGTTAAAAATGTGTCTCTGACCTTTGCTTTCCTGTATACCACTAGCAGAGTTTTTCAGTGAAAGAAGCTTCAGAAGAATCAATTAGCCTAACATTGATTGTTTCTTTGAGTAGAGGAACAATCTTAAGTAAAATTTTCATAGAAATAATGGACTGACTCACACGGAGAATTTTAACTTCAATTATGTAAAAATTTTACCAAGAAACTGTTTGATATATGTTGGGTAGAGCTGTTAGTGTTACCTGTTATTCTTGAAAGTTATGGTGTGTATGTGGGTTAGATCAAGTATGAATGACTTTTTAGTGGGGACTTGATAAGATTATATTTTTCTAAGTTCCCAGGGTCAGCTTCTGTAGTCTAGTCCTTGGCACTGAGACTGTGCTAATAAATACAGCTGGACTAGAGTGAAAATGTTTGGGTATATTTTTGGGGAGGCTGGTGATGAGAGTTGTCTTTACACTTTGGTGCTACGGTTCAAACAGCACAGGTTACGAAAAAGCTGATTTTCTTTGTATTCTGTGTAACCTAGACTTATTAACTTCAATGCTACACGTCTCCTGATCTTTGTTTTCACTGTTTTGCAACCACAGAACAAAAGCAGCCATCATTTGTGTGGTCCAACACGTTGTCTTCAGGCAGGAACTAGTGTATGAGTATGCAATTTGTTGACTATTTTAATAAGTGTGAGAAAGAAAAGTTGTAGCACCATAAGTGTGATTTTTCTGTAATATCACCTGTAGCATTATCAGCTGTCATTTTTTAAGTTCTTGATTAAAACCCAGGGATGCTTTAAGTTTTTCAAAACAATATTTGCTACAGGAGAAATACAAAACTGGAGTTTGTGTGAAAGCCAGTGTGTGCAACATGTGCTGAATCCACGTTAACATCGCCCACTAGATGGGTTATACAGTTCTGTATGAAGTGATACGTCATTTTGCTTGGGTCAGTACATGTTATGAGCTTAAATTTTTAACTGCACAGAAAATATATTTTTCTTTGGGTATAATGGATTCTAGGTAGATTTACAGGTGTGAATGGACAAAGCTGTTAAGAGAAATCTACTTTCTCTCTTTCTGGTAGTAAGTTTCAGCTAACATACAACTAAGTTAATGACAAAGCTTTTAAAATCGATGTACTTTGATCTACATTACCTAACAATATTGTAAAACTTAGATAAAGTAAAAACATGAGGAATCTAACATAAAAAGCCTCCATTTTTGTGTTCAGAGTTCTTGTAAATTTCCAACCAGAGCAGAATATTTTTATTCAGAGAAATACTCACTGAACCTGGTTGAAAATTACAGAGAACAGAATTGTTTCTGTATCACTGTATCACAAATGAAGATGATGATATGAACAAATCTTCACCTTTCTCTCTTCAGGCTCTTGAAAAATGTGATAGTTTGCACAGAATTTTTTTAATTAAGAGTTGTATAAGCTTCATCCAGTAGTATTCAAGTTTGAAAAGGAGAAATGGTACATGGACTCATAGAACAATATTAACTAACAACCTGTAAGTAGCTTTTAGCCAAATACCATCAATTGCCTCTGAAAACAGGATTGTAGGCTCCCATTCATACAATGAACTGCTTCTACAGCTTATTCCAATTTTTTGGGGAGAGAGGAGTTTAGAATAAAATTTAGAGTTACGAAGTGACTCTTAAATTGATCTGAAGAAAACTGAGATTTCAAGGATAAAAAAACCAGAGCTAATTAAGAGCTTCTTCTAGAAAAGCTAGTTTTTCACTATATCACTTCTTCTTAAGCCTTTTTGGTATAAAGAAGTAATTTAGTTTCCACGTAATGAAAACTGGAGCATGGATGAAAGCTGTCTGGATGAAACTCATCCAGATAAGACTGAAATGAAAAATGAAGTTCAGTGATGGCTTTGGGTTGGTTTTTTTTTCTTTCTTTATGCCTTAGAGTACCAAATTGGAGTGCTAGGACTGTTACTGACTTTTAAGATTTTTCAAGCAAGGTCACTGACTACAGTTGCTAATTCATGTCTAAATTAGATTTTGTTATCCACGCCACCATTTTCTAATGGAGCTAAGCTAGGCAGTGGTAATGCATTTAATCAGGGTTCCATTTAGAGTACACACTGATCCTCTGCTTTATGATTATTCACAAGTGGCTGAAATTTAAATTGATGGGGTTTGGCGTATTAAATTAGCCACACTGGATGTCCTCAGGAGACTCTGTGTGTGCAGAGTTGCTTGTTATGCTTGAATTGGCCCCACCCTGCTGCGAAAAAGGGAATATAGTTGGAGCAGAAACTTACTGGTATATGACTCTTAGTCTTCCATTTTTTCTTATATCCCATGTTTGGTAAACTTTCCAATGTATTTTAAGAGCAGTATTTTTCTTAAAATGTTCTTAGAATTCACATGAACTGACAGGTTCAGATTACCTGAATAGAAGGTGGAAGCACCTTTTATTTAAAGTGAGCATTTCCGACTTCTGAGCCCCCCAAAAGAGGCACAAAGATTATAACTGTGGTTTGTGGTAAACATGTCAGAAGAGCTTACTTTCAAAGCTGAAAGCTTCGTTGATTTGAAATTGAATATTCATTTATCAAATAATTGCAGAGCTGAAAGAAGGTACCTGCTAGATATATAGGAGCAATACAAATATGGTGCACCCTATGATAATTTTCTGTATTTTTTTTCACTGAAGACTAAATGTTCTTTGTTGTGCTTCTAGTTTCGGGTTGCTGATGTTGGCACTGATGGAACAGAGCTAGGCTTGATCTGTTGAGTGTCTGTCTTAGCCTACTGCTTGTAAATATTGCCTTTGTGGCTACTGGGGAAAACAGAAGGAGGTGAAGCTACCTGTTTCCATTCACAGTTTCACACTGATAATTGAGATCTAGATTTATATTGTGCAGTTGTCACAACTTCTAGTAGTATTCTCTACTGCCACTTGGACTCTAGACTTGTCTGACTCCCCTTTTTGCATCAGGAAATTCTGTTTCAAGGTGTAGCTTCAATTGTCCTACATCTCTAAAGAGATGCCATTTTACTTACATTGTTTTAGATGTTTTGGAGTGTTACTTTTCTTTACTACAGCAATGACAGTGTGAAATAATGTTTGAATATGCCAAAGAAATTATTTTATTTCATGAAGGAAGAAAATTTGTGATGAAACTAGATCTGTGTCACTCTAATGTTTACTGAGACAGTATTTAGAAACTGTTGTCTTTTTCTTCAACAAAATTGGAACTTTAAAAATTGTTAATTAATTTGTTCTTGAATATGAAAAAGATGACTCTTAGAAATAAATATAATAACTTGATGTTTATTTCTTTTTATGTGCAGGTTGATGACATTGGGTTTTCTTTGAATCATCCTAATCAGTATTTTACAGAGAGTCAAAGGCTATTAAGTGGTGGTAGAGAACCAAAGAAGGAATTAAGTACTTCAGGAAACTCTCAACAAAAAAATAATAGTCAGGAAAGCATGAATTTGAATTCAACTCCCACCTCTTCAAATACAACAGCTGATACAGAACTGGAGGGACTGGAAGCTTACTTCACTGAAGACTAAGCAGCTGCCTCTATACTAAGGGATATGCACTTCACTACCTGGAATACACAGACATTTTTTGAATAGACTGAAAAAAGAAAGATAGATATTGAAGCTGTAATTGCATCCTATTTTCACTGCTTTAAGAGGCTGTTTTATATGGCATGTTTTAAGGATGGGAAATGAAAGTTCCTTCCCAATTATTAGGTGATTTTTGTCTGATTTACCTTTTTTTTGTTTTCTTCAAAATGTTCAAATATTTTTATCCCATTTTGTGGTTGATTGTCTATGTATCTTCTTAATAAATAATTTGCAAAGCAAAAACTTTTGGTATTTCTTTTTAGCTGTATTTGGATGGTAATTAAGTGAGTTTCTTATGATCAAAATTACCCTCTGGAGGAGGTAGTCTGTCTCTTCTATATGAGCAGCTGAGGAAAATCAGCTTCCTCATTTGTACCTTGATACTAGATTTAGAGAACTGGGTTTGATGCTTGAAATAGAGCATAAACAGAGTTCAGACACCTGTATGTAAGAAAATAATCAAAAAAGGCGATACTCTACAAGTGTCTCATCATGAAGAATCTAAAAGCTTATTAGTGTATATTCTTTTTAAAGTTTCTTCAATGTCTGAGTGTGGCTGGAGCCTCCTGTGTCTTGCTAAGCTAAACAGCTGTCTGAATGCAGCTTTGGATTACCTAAATTCCACCCATTGTCACCTAACTCACAAACTGCTTTCAGTCCAGCAGTGACCACTGTGCAGAGGATGGAAGCTCTAAGCAGAACTGGTGTTTTCTATCATGCCATTAGAGTACTCTCCCAGTGATTTAAAAGACGTTAATTTTATTTTACCTGATACCTAAGGAGTTTCAAGGCAATATTGCACCCTCCCTGGAGAGTGACCCAGCTACTGGTATAGCCCTATAACCACAGAAACATGGTATTGTCACTGTTAGTAACTTGTATTAATTCTGCAAGGCCTTAGCATGACGACTCACTGAGCTTTAGTTTTCTGAGTTTGCCTTGTCCCACCTGAAGCTTCGTTTCAACTGTAACAGCATCTGTCAAATGACAGCCTGACTTTGTGTAGTTGTGTGCTCTACTGCCTATAGTTTATAATGATTCTGATATATTTCTGTGGTTAATGGCTAGTAAGTAATAAGTAGTTATTTTTAGAATTAATTCATATATAATTTTAGGTGCCCATCCTTAAACAAATACGACCTAAAGTGTTGTACAAAACAAGTTTTTAGGGATAAGAGAAGAAATAACAAATATACAGTATCAGTAAACACACATTATATATAAATAACTATTTGGCTATATTTGCAGACAATGAAGAAAGAACAGCAAGTAGAATGCTTTTGGAAATGTGTTGTATTACACCAGGTGGACTTTAGAGAGAAGACAGAACAGTCCCCACCATCAGCATCCACCAACTCCTGATAAACGATTTGGGACCCTGACTGTGCTTTTGGTCTCAGGACCCAAAGGGGCAATGGAAAGGCGTGTGCGACACTAGAGAAAGGGAAGATAGACACAAGGGAGTATATGAGTATCTAGTGTATGAGTAAGTAGTTGTATTATGTTAGAGGTTTTATTTATATTGTGTTAGAGGTTTTATTTTCTCTACAATAATTGAATGATTTAGACTCTTAAGACTGACTGGAATAAAGACTGTTTGATTACTGTTAAGATTTTGGACTAACTGTAAAATGTTGGTTTCTTATATAGAGAGTGTTTTTATGGGCCGTAACTTGCACGGGGTAGTGCAATACCAGGCTTTAAAAATAAAACATATCATATGTTGTTAGAAGAGGATCCACCAGGTTCACTGTTCCTTTTATCTTCCTTGAAGTATTCCTTAGTTTATTTAGGGACTGCTTTGTGTAAAATACCAAGCCTTTGACTCCTTTGGATATCTTATATTCCAAGGAGTTGTAGAAATTCACCCTGGGCAAAGGCTCCATGCCTGGGTCCTGCAGGGTGATGGTTGTCCTGGGCCCAAGGAACAAGGAGTGACAAACAGCCATGGGCTTGGTTTCTACTGTTGGTTAAGCTCCTGGCATCACCTCTCCTGGTGTGTGGAAGTCCACTGGATGTATTAGATGGTTAAGAAACTTGACTTTAGGGTTTTGAAGTGTCGTTGGAAATGGTAGCTGTCCTCTAATTTTGCATTCCTGAATACCTGAGTTGGAAGTGCCTCAGATAGAACCTTTCGACAGAAATGAAACTCTGTCAGACCTGCAATGAGATGCATGTTCCTAAGTGAAACAGCTGGGAGAAGAATGAGATTGCCAAGGCACCGAATGCAGGTGGTGTTTCCCAGCCCAGGGAGAATGTGATTTCTGATTCAGCCCTAACCCTGCTTGTGTAGACATCAAACCATCAAACCTCTAGCTCTTCCTTTTTGATCTTTACCTGGACTTTGAAATCTGTTATGGTAGCAATGGGCTGTTTGTTCACACATCCTACAAAGGATTGCTACATTAGCAAAACAAGCTTATTTTTAGGAATTCAAGCACAAAATTAAAAAAAATAAGTCTCTGTTACAAGGAAGAGAATATAACCACACATTCTCTGAATGAAAATTCTTAAACTGAAGTGCAAGAAACATAAGGGTATGGGGCAAAGCCTTTGTTCTTCATTGGCTTACTTCATTATTGTGAGTTTACCTCTCTTGATTCAATGCGCTTGCAACAAATGTGGGTAGAGCCCTTCCCAAATCTTCGTTCGTGAAGCCCAACCATGATGACCTCTCTTGATTAGTAGTACTACAAATTTCTTTAAACTATATTTTCTTCCCTTTTCTTAGTCAGGAGAACTGTAGTAAAATACATAACAGAAAAATGTACAAATACAAAGTACAGCATACAGTTGCAAGTAACTAGCAAAGGATTGAAATGAATGCTGTCATTGCTATTTGAAGAAAATGGCGATTTATTTTCATACTTCACACATTTTGGCCATTTTGAGTTTTCTTTGAAAGCTGAATATTTTGAAGTTGATAATGTGGAAAAAACCAAAATGAGAATCCTCCTTGTGCGCTGTTGGACACCAAGAAGCTTTGAGCTCTTACTGCTTTGTAAATTCAGTAAGAATCACTTTTTGCTTGATTACAGAGCTCTTTGAGATTAGAAAGGCAGAATCACTAAGAATATGTAAATCATTCATTTGAAAACACTTCCTGCATGGTAGTAGTGCTATTAAAAGTATACTTAGTCAAAAGATAAGTATTCTGAAAACCAAAGTGACCCTGATATAATTATGCAGTAACCAAAAATAGCAACAACAAACCAAATTACCAAATAAACCAATAACCAAAGCCAGACAAAATTCCAATCCCTATTTTACAAGTTGAAAAGAAAATATATTTCTGCAGTAAAGCCTTGCAGATGGATCTATTTACAAGTATCAACTCTTCTATGTGGATTTTTTAATTGTTATATTTTGCTACTTAAATAAAAACAGAAGATACATGTACATCCAAGGTTTGAAACTGTTCTGGAGGAGACACTTCAGTATTCTGCATCAGTAAAGGAGATACTAAGATGATATTTAGTTGTGTTTCTGAAGGGATGCACTATGCTAAAACATAGCCCTGCATAGCAATCATGCTCTAGTAGGAAGTAGTCTTCTTTCCATCCAACATCTGTTCTCAAATGTACCGCGGTTCAATTTGGAGACGGATGTTTCAAAAAGAATGCTGGTCCAAAGCTTGTGATCATCCGAAGTGGTAGCATCAAAGACAATAAAAGTCTCTGACTTCAAAGCCTTTCAATATCTAATGAAGAAGAGAACTTACTGTTGGTTGTTCTGGAGAAGGAAGGCTGAGGAGGTTTGGGTGTGACTTAAAGTGTTCTACTGAGATGTGGAGTGCTGCCCTGGCAATGGGTAAGGAGAGAGCAGCCACTGCCATCACGGCATGATAGGAGCAGATCCGTGCAGCCAAACACCTGAAGCTGAGCACGTGGCATTCCGTCTCTGCATGATTTGGAAGCAGTGTGTGGTGAGCAGCTGTGCATCACTCTTTTCTCAAAGGTTTTATTCCTTTCTGTCCTTTTCATTACTTTTATTATGCTATATTTTATTTTGTTTCAGTTAATAAACAGTTCTTACCTCAACCCATGAGGTTTACTTTTTTTCCCCTTTGATTCTCCTCTCTTCCCCCCACCCCACCTCAGGAGTGTGTGTGTGTGATGTGTGTGAGCTTTTGGGCAAGGTTACTGATTGCAAGCAATTACAGATACTTTCCTTGTTTTCCCAGGTACATATCAGAAACCCAATGAATTACAGCTGGGAAGATGTATTCAAGGTCTCAATATGTGAATGGTTCTTTGGGCTGTATTTCACATCATGATACTTTAGATGTTATTTATTTTTTTTAAAGCATATATAGCGTATTCCAAAATCTGTATCCATTTCAAGTCCTTTAAAAATCCACAAAAGAATCACGTTGTCCTTTTAGGTCATGATGTGTTTGTTGTCTTTTTTTTTTTTTTTAATTTGTTTGCTATTTTTACTACACTGTTGATATGGTGTGAAGCTGGCTCCCTGCCAAGTCTCCAAACCTTACCACAAGAAGTACCCCCACCAAACCTCAGGGAGAAGAGGGAGAAAAACAACCAAGAAAACCCAAAACGAGAGAGAGAGCTAAAGCAATATATATATAAAAATATATTTACACTTATGTTACAGGTATATACAATTGAAATATATATACAATTTCACAAGGGAACGGGAAGGGGGAAGGGAAAAAAAAGGAACAAAACCAAAATAAAATATATATATATATATATATATATATATCTCCTGATTAGTAGCCAAATATCTAACAACTAAAAGAGTTAGCAAAGAAATATCTCACTACTCTCCTTGGGACAACCGAGAGTCGCCCTGGAACGATCGCCGGCAGCCTCCGTCTCCCAAGGTCGACAAGGCCTTACCAGGCCTCGCTCCCCAACACGGCAGACTCAACAGCAGGGAACCTGCACCTCCAAGCTGCCAGAAGGAAAGAGAGCGAAG